TGATTAAATTTTTCTCTTCAGTCATTTAACGAAAGATATATATATATATATATATATATATATATATATATATATATATATATATATATCCGAGTTAACTACCTGATGAGATGTTGTTTATTAAACGTCGAAACAAAATGTACAATTTTGTAGTAGTAACCTACAGGTTCTAGTCTATAATATTATATATATATATATATATATATATATATATATATATATATATAGGAGATTATTTTTTTATAGTGTATCTATAAAGGAAAAAAATGAAAAAACCAGTAAGAAGAAGAAGAATGGTTAAGAATAGTTTTCCTCTTGTTTTTATATATATATATATATATATATATATATATATATATAGAGATAGATATATTCGTCCACATAATATATGTATTAATTTACGTCCATATTTTATATAATAATGTATTAATTCATGTTTTTTTGTATTTTTTGTTTGTTTTTTTTGTTTTTGTTTTTTTGTTTTGTTTTTTTTTGTTTTTTTTGCTTTATCCATTATGAACTTTAAAATAGCAAACGCTTTCTGCAGCCCACGACAGAAAGTTTATACCCCCAGAAATACGGAAAGAACCCAAATAGTAAGGCTAGGTTCACTGCAGAATGTGCTACATCGTATCCCCTACTACCTAACACAGTGAACGGTTTTGTGTGACACTTGTTCCATTCAGAACTGTCCGCAGTCACTGCAAGAGAAATCTCGAAAAAGGACAGTGCAGCGAAACGAAAGCAGTCCAAACCAAGGTCGAAAGAAATTTACGTAAGTTCTGGAAAATCTTCAACCAAATTCTCAATAAAAACAACGAGGCAGTACTTTCACTATATTTTTTTGGTATTTTGTTTTTGTGTGTATTTTTTTTTTTTGTTTTTTTTTTTTTTTTTGTTAATATCCCATATTATAATTGCGACAGTTTTGTTAGGAAAGAAGTGATGTTTTTTGATCATGAACGTAAATTTACCGTGAAAGATTTTAAAATAAATTCCTGTTCATTATATTTCACTTTAATCAATTACTTTCTCTTTTAATTAAAACAACATTTTTAAGTGGAATTTATCGTCTCATCTACCAACTAATGCGTTGAGTGTATTGTTTTTTTTTTTAAAGATCTGTTCTTATAAACGTTTATATGCTTTCACATGATGTATTTTTGGGGACATTTTTGTAAATTCCTGCTTCAAGATTAATGCCAGTATTTTGTTTTTCGTTAATTAAATCATTCATTTGTTCTGAATTAATTGTAACAAATGTTATATTAAGTTTTGGCAAATTATTTTCAACTGTAGTCGTTATTGGGTTGCTTGGTAATATTATGTGTTTATTTTGAACAAGATTCTCTTATTTTATTTTCTAATTTTGTCTTGTTCTATGTATAAAATCATTTAAATATTGAAATAGTTTAAGAATTTTTTTTTTAGTGTATTTTTTTCTTCAACCCGTAAACACTGACGGCTACAAATCCTAAATTCTCTTCTTAATGGGAAACATTATCCCAGGTTTATTTCGTGTTATAAATTTGTGTTAAGAGTCCCTGTACCTTCAGTGTTTTTAGATGTACGAGTTAACTGATGTTTGCCGCATTTCTTCTCTCCACTTTATATATCTATATATGAGGTCCGTCAGGAGTCTGTCAGTCAGAGCGAGCGAGTCAGTCAGTCGAGTCAGAGGCAGTCCGAAACAGAGTCGCGTTCAGACAATTACTGCAAGACATTGGAATAGTGATACTGGTCGAGACTACATTGTTCTCCCTACTAAACCTGATTGTTCGTACTAAGACTTTCTAGTTCTCTGTATATATTCCTGTTTGTAATATATCTGTGTTATTCCATATCCGTGTTCGAGGTCTTCTTTATTGGTTCTACCTTGGATTATCACCGTGGTACAAGGAACCGGACCATAGCAATATATATATATATATATATATATATATATATATATATATAAATACATTTTATATTTAACATTCTTTTTATAGATACAAGTATTTAAGTAAATGCTCTGTTTATAATAAACAGTATTAAATAACATTTACCGGCCTGAATGTCCGAGAAATTTTCATAGAAAATATTCGTCCTTTGACAACCTTTAAATTCGACCTTGCCGACCGAGCGATCCTTTGTGGCCGAATGGTTAGGCATGCCAAGCTAAATGACGGTTCCGTATAGGATGCAGGTTCTAATCCTGTCAAAGGACGAATATTTTCTGTGAAAATTTCTCGGACATTCAGGCCGGTAAATGTTATTTAATACTGTTTATTATAAAAAGAGCATTTACTTAAATACTTGTATCTATAAAAAGAATGTTAAACATAAAAATGCCTTTAATAAATTGTCGGACTTGAGTCCATGTCTTTTTATATATATATATATATACAGTTGTATGGATATTAGTTTGTAAACCTGAGTTTCACGCTTTTGCGATCATCAGGCAAACTGCTTTATTTTTAAAAAAAACTGGATCTATTTATGCTTGTGTTGATTATTTGTGTGTGTTGGAGGCGGAGAATTATCTTTTGTGTTTGCTTGAGATGACACTGTGACACGCATAGACACGCATACATACAGGTGTATGCATTTTAGTTTGTACAATCACACCCATATAAATAAGCGTAGGTTAGGCGCAGATACACATGAATGCATTCGAGCATACATATATACGGAATTGTCGTTCTATTTCGGTGTCGGGAGCTTAGCGTTACATATGTAGCAATGTTCTCATATTAAGGAACAGGTGGGGGTTCATCATGACGTTTTTTTATATCGTTTGCGTCGTCGGATAAGTTCACATTTCCTCACACATACATACACATACAAAGAGGCGTATTCAAATACAGTGGTTGGGTCCACCGCCATCACGTTGGTTAAGTTGGGTATGTCCACACAGAGAACCCAACTTAATTTCTATATGACTGTACGTCTGAAGCTTTACCATGAAAAATCTTTCATTTTCCACAATAAAAGTTTAGACTTTGACATTAACTTTCTTCTTTGTCAATGCACTCAATTCAATGTTGAATATTAATCATATAATCTAGCATTATATACTGATATTTTCCGATTAAAATCCAGCTAAAACATCTCCTTGTGAGTCTATAAAATTATTGATCTATCTCGGAAATAAATGTCAATCTCTGAAAAAGGATTAACTCATTGATTTGATTTTTACGGTTTATCAATCTTTTTCAGGTTATTTAAAGCCAAAGTATATTTTTAGATTGTAAGAATCTTTTGGAGAAGATAAGAATTTTAATACACACGTCTTACTATTTAACTCATAGTTTGGAGGTGAAGAGGTGGCTTCATAACCTTTCCCAATAACATTTGCTCGTAAGTGAATATAACGAACCCGAATGTAATTCGAACTTGGCTCGCTGATATCTCATCCCGAGACTTTATCCATTACACCTCCCGCACATCCACGCTTACAGCATTTTGTATTCCCGAACGGTCTGCCATCTAAGCACTGATCAGGTTCTATTTTGCTAAAATTCTGTGAACGTTTGAAAAAAAAATGGATTTATCACGTTCATGATCCTCACCGATTTTCTAGTCCTCTCTCTCTCTCTCTCTCTCTCTCTCTCTCTCTCTCTCTCTCTCTCTGCATTTGGGACGCCTATTCTCTTCCGGTGCAGAATTTGCTGTTCACGCGAATCGGCGTTCGAGGGTCCTTTGCAGTCGATAAAATTATTCCTTGCTATAAGACTGTTTTTTTTTATTCTACTTGCCTTAATGTAAAGATATTTCCAAGAGTCGAAAAATGTCAAAACCTATTGAATTTTTTTTTTTTTTACTTCATTCATCTCCATCCGCTTTGTTAATTTTTCTGAGTGACTCAATTTTGTCTTTCATTTTGTTGTTGTTAACGCGTTCTCTCATCCTAAACTGCAAGCCTGCCACCAAAAAATCGACTTTTTCTATTTTATTTTTATTTACTTATTTATTCATTTCGCACGCGAATCTCTCCAGTGAGACTTGAACGTACCAATTGGAATGCGGGTTACGTACAAACCGGAAAAGAAATTCTTTTTTTTTTTTTTTTTTTTTCAATTCGTAAACGGCCTCGAAGCCAGGCCTGAAATATAGCGTCGGAAACTGAAACATAATTCAATTTCACAAAATGCCTGCACCCATGCGCAGTAGTTGCACGATGGCGTACGGACCTACGCTCCTGTTCTAGGCTACACAGCCGTTGCATAAATGGTATTCTTAACAAGCATGATAAAAGATTCCAAATACTCAATTAATCTTTAATATGTCATAGATAACTGATAGATTTCTTGGAGTAAGTGTGTAGAATGTGCTACACAGCCGTTGCATAAATGGTATTCTTAACAAGCATGATAAAAGATTCCAAATACTCAATTAAGTTTTAATATGTCATAGATAACTGCTAGATTTCTTGGAGTAAGTGTGTAGAATGTGCTACACAGCCGTTGCATAAATGGTATTCTTAACAAGCATGATAAAAGATTCCAAATACTCAATTAAGTTTTAATATGTCATAGATAACTGATAGATTTCTTGGAGTAAGTGTGTAGAATGTGCTACACAGCCGTTGCATAAATGGTATTCTTAACAAGCATGATAAAAGATTCCAAATACTCAATTAATCTTTAATATGTCATAGATAACTGATAGATTTCTTGGAGTAAGTGTGTAGAATGTGCTCAAACATGTCATCAATCCCTCAGACCCGGTAGTGTGGAAATAAATAACGGCAGAGATATCTTTTATTGAATGATTCATTTTTTTTTTACTGTTTATCAACCTTTTGTAGGTTATTTAAAGCCTGAAAATATGTTTTTTAAAATTATGGGAATCTTTTTTCTTTAAATAATAATGATTTAGTGATACATGGAAAAGAGGTAGATTCACACGTTTCCAAATGAAAATTGCGCTAAAGTGAATATAACGAACCCAACTTGAATTGGAACTCAGCTCTCCGATTGACAATTCCGAGCCATTATCCATGACACCATCCGCAAGCTTATAGCGCCTGGTATTCCCGAAAGATCACCCATCTATGTACTTATCGAGCCTGACATAGCTTAAATTCAGTGATCGTACCGGTACTGATGTTTTAAAGGGATATGGCCGTAAGCCGCGACTGACCGGAAAGGCTGATCTGAATCAAAATGGCGAATCGACGCATCAGAATAGCGAAAAATGTCTTAATTAAAATGGACACTATAATACCTATCTACCTCCCAACGTAAGGAACAGCCAAATAATGTTTTGCGTAATCTGAAAGGCAAAAATAAGTAAAGGAGAAATGAAACTCAAGACAGCAAGGCTTTTTCTTTGTTGTTTTTCTTTCATCTCTTTTATTCATTCACTTTTTTCTTTTCATTTTTCTATAGCATTTTACTTGCTCTTAGTTTTCCTTTATATGGTCTTCATTTTTTTTTTCACTCACTTTTTTGTTGTTTTTTGCTATTTTTCAATCGTTTTCTTTGGCCTCTATACTTTTCCCGCCATTTTCATTTCACTCGCTTTTCTATAAGTTTCTTCTGGACAGAGTATTGCGAGACATGGGTATTTCTTTAGTAACAAAGAAAAGAATACTGAGCTGTTACGTGACATCTGTCCTTCTTTACGGCAGCGAATGTTGGACGGTCTCCTCAAAGATGAAGAACAGACTCGAAGCGACGGAGATGTCGTTCTACAGAAGAATGGTAAGGATATTATGGATCGAGCATGTGAGTAACGATGATGAAGCAAACAAAGAGGAGGCTTATACTTAGCATCAGGAAGAGGCAGCTGAAGATTCTGGGGCACATAATGAGAAAGGAGGGCCTGGAGAATCTGATACTCACGGGTCGAATAAAGGGAAAGAGAGACAAGGGAAACCAATGCATGACATATCTGGCGGACTTTAGCAAGTGGATGGCAGAACGTGGTCTGGCGGAGGTAGCATTGGCCGAGGTAGCTGCAAGGGATAGAAGGAGGTGGAGGGCCATGGTCACCTACGTCCTGAAAGCACACAGCACATAGAAAGAAATGAAGTATTCCCCCTGTACGAAGTTCAAGAGCCACTCGAAGTAGAGGGTAACAGACACATAAAAAAGAATGAACTTAAACTCTACCTTTCTCCTTCGTCTCTTCCCGCTTTCTTTTCAGTCGCTTTCTTTGGATATTTTTTAGCTTTCTACTCTTTCGTCTTCATGTACCCTTACTTTTCTTTTAATTCGCTTTTCTTTTCGTTTTTTTTCTAGCTTGCTTACTTACCCGTTACCTTTGTATCATTGCGGCTAATGTTCTCTTTCTCTTCTCCTTTGAGGTTGAAAGTTATATTACGTGTGTGTGTGACACATTTCTAAGAACTCCTAGAGAATACACTTATCCAAGACAGAAGTGCAGAGAAGCAAAACTTGGATTCTATGGGGGTGAACACAGATTCTCCGATGCTTAGTAGAAGTGGGTAGCTTAAGCAATCCAGCCATTTTTACGTGTATTATACTAGATGTGCGCGGAATATGACATCGGCAGGAAGAAACTACATTCCGAACTCATCTGTTGCGTTTACTTTCGTAAAAATACTCGTGAGAAAGGCATGAACCCATCTCATTCCCGTTCCGTCTACACTAGTCTCTTGAATAGCGACTAGTCTAGGAGAAGTACAACTCTGAATTCAAAACGTATTGAACGTGATTCGAGGTACTCTACTCAGTAAAGACGGACTTCCTACAGAAGCCATAACAGCAATAAATTACTGTTTTTTAAACTAAGAAATTCTCATGAATTTGACCTTGGTAACCGGACGCTTCCACTGTTGCTAAATGTTTTAGCATGTTAGGCTATATGCTGGTTCCGTGTAGGATAAAGATTCGATCCCTGTCGGAGAACACATATTTTCTATGAAATTTCTCGGACATTCAGACCGGTTAATTTTTTAATACTGTTTATTATAAACAAAACATTTACTTAAATATTTGTATCTATGAAAATAACGTATAAACAACAAATATATTAAAACAATATATATATATATATATATATATATATATATATATATATATATATATATATATATATATATATTATTTGATTATATGTTATTTTATTTTTTATCTTTAAAATAATGTATATTAAAACAATTGTAGGACAATTGTATATATTGAAACACTGCTAGGACTTAGTCCATTTCATATATATATATATATATATATATATATATATATATATATATATTTTTCATGAAATATATATATATATATATATATATATATTTCATGAAATATATATATATATATATATATATATATATATATATATATATATATATATATATATATATATATATATATATAACCTGTCAGGGGCACGCATTTTCTTGCGACTCGCCAAACTATCGCTGGAGGAATATGTGTGTCCAGACTAGCCCTTCCTGTGAACATCCGGGACCTTCGCAAAAATATTTCTCAAACGTGCTCGATCATCTCTTCCAATACTGGCGATAGTCCAGAGCCTTTTAGCTTTTTGTGCCATGTCCAAATCTGCATTTTTTAGTGAATTCTTTCACAAGTGCACGCTGCACAGGCTTGTTTAACTGTATTCGAGCAAACTCTAACATACAAAACGTCTTGTCTTTTCCAATGAA